ACTTAGCCCTCACACATGCTTGGGAAATGCTTGACCAGGGAGGAGCAACACCTCCCACCCCCAGCCCAGTATTTTCTTCCTTTTTTTTTTTTTGTTACCTGGGATTGAACTCAGGGGCACTCTACCACAAAGCCACATCCCAAGCCCTATTTTGTAATTTATTTAGAGACAGGATCTCACTGAGTTGCTTAGCGCCTTGCTTTTGCTGAGGCTGGCTTTGAACTCACAATCCTCCTTCCTCAGCCTCCTGAGCCACTGGGATTACAGGCATGGGTCCAGGCCGCCTAGTGTTTTCTATTTTTAATCAAGGCACTTCCCAGTGAGTTACTTCAGGTAACTCATTCCTCCCCAAGACCAGTTCCAGCCCCTCTCCTGTTCCAACACCAAGAATTCTAAGGGTCCCAGCTTAGCTACCATTCTCTTCATTGTTTGGGTCCTCTCAAAAGAAAGATTTTTTTTTTTTTTTTTTTTTTTTTTTAGCTCTCACTCTTCCCTTCATACCCAAGGACAAAATGCCACTTGGCTTACCTAAAAATATCTTTACTTCTTCCTGCAAACTTTCTCTTTAAATAGATTGCTGAGAGCAAAGAAACTGGAATGGGTGGAGAGGGGCCCATAAAGAAGAGAACACAGAAAAAGCAAAGAGGAATAGAGAAAACCTGGAGCACGAATAGATGAACAGAGGATAAGGGAAGGTGAGAAAAAATGATAAAAGAAACTCAACTCCGACTGCTGATATCTTGTGTCTTGGGGTAATTCGGAGATATATATATGCATATATATATATATATATATATATACATTATACATATATAGAAAACACTTATGTGTATTATTATTTATATATAATTTCATTTAAGCTTCATATAACATTTTCAGGTTATTGTTATTATTATCCTTGTTGCAAACCTAAATAAAACCTTAAGACAAATTATTGCAACGAAGTTAGGGACATTTTATAGGAAGTTAGGACTGGAGTTAGTCAAGTGGGCAGTGGGAAAAACTAGTTTTTTAAAATATTTTTCTAGATAGGAATCTCAGGCTGAGTAGTTTGCCTGAGGCTACATAACTACTGAATTGCACAGTTGAGATTCAAATTGAAATCAGACTGACACCAAAGTACCTGTCTCAGAAGCCTGGGAAACAAAAGGGCACCAACAGGTGGAAAGTTACTGGGCTAAAATAAATGGTGAAAAGAAGAACAGCCCCTTTGCAGGACAGCACTGTGATGAAGCTAGACCCAGAGAGGATTTTCTTTGATGGTCTTATGAAAGCATCATGAGATCAGCATAGAATGAGCATACCCAATGTCTGTGTGCTCCAAATTTTCTGACAATTGTATCTTTCCCTTCTCCAAAATCTTCCCATCAATTTATCAAGATTTTAAGACATTTATGGCAATTGTTATCTTTATGGAAAGAAATGTGAGTAGTTGCTTAGGGCAAATGTCCACAGTAATGCAAAGTAGAATGAGGAAAGAAATAGAGCAAACATGTCCATTACCCTCATTTTACAAGGGGTAAATGGGCCTAGTGGAATTCATCTTCATGTATGAAAAGATCCTGAGCTCTTATTTCCCAGAAATCACTGAAACAGGGGAAATGCCTTGGAAGTGGAAAAGGACATATGCTACAAAACCATTTTCAATAGAAGAATAAGGAGGACCTGATAATTATAGACCAATAAACAGAAGCACTATCATTTAGAAGACAAAACAAATCATCCAACAACTAGTTATCCCCTAAAGGACATGAAATATTATGTAAGGTGAAAACAAACCAGGTTTCATAAAGTATAAATGTGTTTCATAAAATATAAATGTTAATAAGTCCCCTTAAGTTAAATTTTAAATGGGCCCACCAGACCCAAACGATTATGTTTAGACTGAGTACAAAGCAATAGAAGGAAATCCAAAAATCTACCAGGCAGGCAAAGATTTGTTTATCCTGCTGCTATGGTTAGAAATGGATTATTTCTTTCCTCACGTAGCCTCACAGCCTATGTTTGGGAATCTTACTTAGTTTATAGTGAAATAATACAGAATACAGCACAAATGAAATCTTTTTGCTACCCAATGTCTGTATGCTCCAAATTTTCTTGAGTCTTTATAACCCCCTTCCACCACAAATTTTTCTCTCCGTTGATTCTTGGTTTTAATATATGGCCCTTAGCTGTTCTACAGAATAACCCCAATGTTCTGTTAGAATAGTATCCTACTCTCTGGGACAATTATCAATTTAATTTTACAAAAGACACTGTCTATTATTCATGAATAAAAATGCAATCCAATATAAATTACCTATCACTTGAGTTCCATCATGGGCTATTTCCCGTTTCAGGAGATTTAAAATCAAGTCTATCTGGAGTCCAGTCCCCTGTGCTTTCTATACCTAGATGCCTTCTAAACTCATACACAATTAGCTCCCTGATGACAAAAGGGAAAAGGCAGGGCCATAGGGATCGTTTTCTCTAGAACCTTTTGATGAAAATTAGCTCTCCATTCAGAGAAGTACCTTGCTTACTGTGAGTTTTGTGCACTTTCTAGATCACTGCCATAACCTCCTATAACATGCGCACCCCTGGTTGAAAAGTACTATCTAGAGTTCACTGTCTTCCCCAAGAGGTTCCACATAAAGGAGACTTACTAACATTTTAGAGTTGAGGAAATTTGGATCTAGAGACAAAGAATAAATCATTTAGATTCTTAGAGGTCTCAAGTGTACAATTACAATGAACATTTAGTATTATTGGTTTTTGTGTCTAGAAGTAAGACAGTTGGTGTTTAACAGATAGCTGTAAAATTCACTCTTCCAATTAATGATCATAATGAAAGGATGATTCAAATCCTTAAAAAGTTTAGCAACTTACATAAAATGCAAGTCTAATAAATGAAGCTTTCATTTGGCAAAGCCTGCATCTAAGGAATATCATTTTCCAAATCCTAAAATCACATGGATTTGTGCATCAGTAAACTAGAAACACTGAATACCTGTATAGAGGCACAGTAATTAACTCATGAAAACTTTATTTCAAACTTCTCAGGAAGAAGAAATGGAGAAAGATCAATAACTGGGGCTGGAGTTGTGGCTCAGTGGTAGAGCACTTGCCTAGCATGTGTGATGCCCTAGGTTCGATTCTCAGCACCACATACAAATAAATAAATAAATAAAATTCATCAACCACTCATAAAAATATTTTTTAAAAAAGATCAATAAATGGCCTAGAAGCAGGATAATGTCAAAAGAGAAGCTTGTGGAACCAAAAGAGATTTCTCTTTGACTGCTGGACCAAGGATTCTATCACCTCACACCTAAGAATGCTCAGAGGTAATGCCTCAATCATAACAGATGCTAGCAGTGAAGTAATTAATGTTTTCTCAGGTTGACTGCTTGGTGAATTATAGCAGTTCATTCCATGGTATGACTTCAGTCATTTAAAACGTACCCTCTTCATTTTGTTTACAAAGTCCCCAGTAATATGAATCCTCAGGTATTTCAGTCAACATCCTGAAAGTTAGAGAGGGCAGCCAGGTAAACAATGGTAGCTAAGGTGAAGATGTTCCCAAGTTACACACAACTTCCAGACTGTCTTCTGACCCAGAGGCTATTGGACATACTAAATAAAAAGACTAACTCCACAAGCTAAGTGAGAAATGTATCCTATGACCATACCATACATACGGTAATAACATTTTCACATAGTGCTGGGTAAGGAAATTCTTTTTTCCAAATCATTTGTAGTCCTTTTATAAAAGATGGAGTATAGCTCATTTATTGCTACTACATATTTTATATGGAAGATATTTGAAAAATTATTGAGAAAATCCCATTAAGACAAAAGACAGATGATCTAGCTTCACATTCTGATTCTGATACTCTGAGACTGGCAAGTTTATGCTTTGCTTCCCTCATCTAGAAAATTTAGGAGTTAGACTGGATGAATCTCTGCCCAGTTCCAATTTAAAAGATTATGTCCATTAAATCTTAAGATTAATATGCAACTGAAATTTCAATAGGAATAATGATCTGAGCCAGGTGCAGTGAGGTACACCTGCAATCCCAGCCACTTGGGAAGCTGAGGCAGGAGGATTGCAAGTTCAAAGCCAGACTCAGCAACTTAGGGAGGCCTTATGCAACATAGCTAGACCCTTTCTCAAAATCAAACATAAAAAGGGCTGGGAATATGGCTCAGTAGTAAAGCACCCCAGGTTAAATCCCCAGTACCAAAAAACAAACAACAACAACAAAAAGATTTCTGATATGTTTCTCTGTATTACCTATATGCATTGATATTTAGACTCATCCAAAAGTTTTGGTAAAATTTTAAGTACTGTCATACCTTAGTTTCCTCAAATTGATTTTTTCAATATTTTAGACACCTGAGTAAGAGAAATATCAGAAAGGCCATATCTATGTTATAAACTATGGAAACAAAAGCCAGTTTTAATGTAATTATATTTTATGAAAAATGAAATTAGACTCCCCAAATGCTATACTTTAGCTTTCTAATTACTATAACTGTTGGAAAACCAAGTAATAAAATTCTCCAGTAAACCATTGGAATTTAGCACTGATATATCTAAACCCCTTGAGACTTCAGGTGGTTTGGGCAACAGTAGGAAGCAATGAAAACTCTAGTTCTTACGATGGGGAATGCCTCACTGCAGGGCATGAGGCTGCTAGTCACAAACTGTCTGATCCCTACAGCTCTGTATTATAAATGGAAATAGTGAGAAAAAAAAAAAAAAACTACGAGTAAAACAAGTCAGCTTAGCTATTACTTATAAAAGAAAACTTGGTTAAAATAACTTTTATATTCTTATCAAAAGGCTTTCCAAACTGGTTTTTCAGGACTAGGATATGAATAGAGGTTGAAAAATTGCCCCTGTATATCTTAAGTATATCTTAATCAGCTTTTAGTTTAGAATTCAGAATATAACTTAGAGAAGTTGGCCAAATGCACACAAATCCCTATGGAGAATCACACCCCCACACACCCACCTTGCCTTCAGTCCTTGGGAAGATAGGGTGGAGGGACTGTGGTTTTGGCATCAATCACCCACCCTGCCTTCAGTCCTTGGGAAGATAGGGTGGAGGGAATGTGGTTTTGGCATCTCTCACAGCTCAGCAATGTGCAGTGCTTTTAGCAGTCAAGAAAAAAACAAATATGCCTTATGAGCTGCAAAACAATATGAAAACTAATGAAATAGTTTGCTATTTCATGAAAAAAAAATCATTTATGAAAACAGGAAGATTAAAAAAAAAATGCTTTTACAGTCACTTGAGAAAATAGACCAAAGAGTGCTGGTCCCTTGACTTAAGCATTCATGATGCTTGAGTGTGAGAGGATTCACCAGCTGACAGATAACACATGGGAAACTTGAAAAGCTCTCATTTCTATGATGCCCATAATACATATAATCGCCAAGTTCAAAACTATGTGATCTGGAAGCACAACCAAGAAGAACAGAGCTATTGACAAGCACAATACCCATTAGAAGCTATCAAAATTTAACTGAAAAAAAAATACAAAGATAATACAGACAGTGCTAATTTTAATCATTTGGAAAGAAAACAGAGAAAGTTATGTGCATAAAGTAAAGCAGGTGTATTTGTGTTGCAAATATAATTCAACTTACCTCTTGAGCAGAAAATCAGGACTCTATCTAACCAGCCTGCAGTGATTCCCCAGCAGATCTGGCTGAAACAAACAAGAACCTGGAGTTTCTCAGTGCAGTTCCTACCTCTACCTGACTGTATTAATGAACAGTCTGAAACTTCTCTCCTGGCGCTGAGTCACTCAGGGAGGAGGTGGGTGGTATGAAAGAGGGTGTCGCCTTGTACAAATACCAGTTCAATTAAAACAGTCTCACTCCCAGACTACTGTCTTTGTGTGGTGAATTCTTCATATAATTTGTGGCCATGTTATGCTCAAAATGCTCCTGTTATCACCTTTTTAACTGATGTCAAAAATACAACAATTTCACTAACAAGGCGGCAAAGCATGCAGCTATTCTCAATTCCATGTTAAAAAGCAAAACAAAGACTCTGTAGAAGGAATCCCTATTTGCCCCTAGTGCCTGGAGTGTGGGACAGACCCACACAGGGAGTTTGCTACTTGATTAGGAAAGGAAAGTCCTCGGAAATCCAGCAACTCTGGGATCAGAGATATGGAATGAATCAGTTGCACAAATTCTGTACATGGAACATTCTGTAGAACCATCAGAGGAAAAATACATACTGAAATGTAAAAATTCTGGTCCTTATTTTACATATGTTAAAGGAAAATGTCAAAAAGATGGTTGAAACTTCTTTCACAGCTGGGGGCAGCATGAGGGAGGAATAATACAGAAAAGCCATCCTGGGTGGGGGCTTCTTTAATAGGCTCTGAAATATACCTTTCACAATAGCCAAGGAGGCCTTAAAGAAACTTAGTACATCTGGAACATTGCCAGAGATGCTTGGTCATTAGAGTTTCCTGGGTCATCCTTATTCATCAGCCAAACCAACAATTAACCAAATCCTCTCTGTAAGATTGCTCCCAACTTCAGCTCATCTGAGCTATGCCTGCAGCACTAACCATAACAAGATGTAGAAATGTCTATCTAGATGGGAAGGCAAGGCAGCAGCAGTAGGAACAGAAACTGGGAAGTTGCCTCATGTTCCCTTATTTTGGGCTGAGGAATTTCAAAATCTAAAGGAAAGTGTTTTTTCCAGGAAAAACATATATATATATACACACACACACACACAACACACACACACACACAAACACACACATACATACATACATACATACATACATAGCTCTATGGCCCTTTAATGAAATTTTATATATAGGCAATATTTTTAAAATATATTTTTAAATTTCTATGACACGTTTTAAATTTCTATTGGGTTGGGGTTGGATATTAATTTTGAAGTGAATAAGTTGAAAAATAAAGATGTCACTGGTTCAACTTAAAAAATAAACTAAAAGTTAAATTCAGCATTAGAACTTAGTTTGAATTGTAGGACTAAACAGTTTAAGAGCTATCTTGTAAGGACAAGCTGTCACTTATATTATACAATGTTTAAATACATGTTTTTGTCCTTCATAAAATACAGAACCAGAAATATAGGGTTTTTCTTTTACCTAATAATGAAGTAAAGTACAGTTGTCCAAAGTACACTTAAGACTTTTGAGTTTCCAAGAAATTATTTTTGCATGTAACTAAGGGTTTCTCTTACTAACTTTATATTCAAGGACACCTATACCACCAAGCCAAACCAGCCTTTTCATTTAGAACCAAGTCTTTGATTCAGAAAGGGTTTATTCTAAACACTTGAGTAAAATTCAGATATCTTCATGTTGAATAGATATTCAGCCAAAGACTGCTGTCTAAAGTCAAGAATCTCAAAGAATGAAGTGGTCAAATCAAGAATGTGTTTGGGTGTGGACATGGCCAAATAGGCTTGGCCTTGGTTTCACTGTGGCCTTAAGCTGGGAAGGCTTGAGCATGCTTAGAATAACTCAGCTACACCTCTTTCAGTGTGACTATCAGAGCTCTGGAGGGTCCTTAGAATACCAGCTCAAGGGGGGCGATGACAAATGGTCTTATCTCAGGTACAAATGCTAGTTGATTTGTGGGTAGCTACCTAGGGGGATATAGTGAAGTTTGCAAGGCCTGTTTGGACTCCACGGTGTGCCGGGGTTAATTAGTATTGTCCACTACAGGTCTTAGCTAAGGGAGTGTTTTCTGACTCTTTCTTATAAAATTAAGACATTATAATACTGCATTGCTTGGTTTATGTGTTTTATCCATTGAAATAACCAATCAAAATGAGCACTTATTACTAAATAGTAATGTCAAGAACAAGCTTTGACATAGCACTTTTAATGTGCCAAGCATTATTCTAGGAAATTTTCATAATTTAATAGTTATGAAATGATTGTTACCTCTTTACCCCAGAAAGATTCTAAAACTGATATTGAAAGTACAAATCATACAAAAGAAATCAGAATCTCAAAACTCTCTAGTCTATGATTCCCAGGCTTTGGGGAGTTAAAAAGTAGAGGGTTCCTCATTTTCCTTCCAGATGGAGGAAATAAAGGTTATATGCTTTTTACAACAAAGGAGATGTCATTAGGGTGTAAATTACAGAGCCAATTTCTCTTTGGGAGTAGAGAGATGCCAGAATTCATCTATCACTGCTGTGCTACAAAAGCTGGCATTGGCTAGTAGACTTTGAGGGCACCAGAGTAACACAGAACAATGAAAAGCACAGCACCTATCCCATGGGAGCCTGGGTTCAGTGGCCCCTACAGACTCACTACTCGTGGTGAGCAAGTCACTTAAGCTATATGCCCATGTCCTTTTTAGTGCAGTGAGATTAATGATAACCATCCACCAATTGGACAGATCACAATGACAATGTCAGTCTTTTAACACCAGGAAGAATCAGGAGAATGCAGTCCTGAGTTCCTGATGCTTTCTGACTCTTCTTCAAGCTCCAAACAATTAACAGAGTTCTGCTTCCTAGTGAATATAGATCTGGTTTCAGCTGAGGCATAACTGGTCCAGTTAGTGAGAGAAAGAAGAGCAGAGATACAAGTGGGTAATGGAGACCAGCAGCCATACTCTCTCAAGTGGAGAATCCCTTTGATTCAAATGTATGATATGTCAAGATCATTGTATTGTCATAAGCAACTAATAAAAAAAAAGAAAGTTTTGCTACATTCTTCCCTCCATTCCTGTGTCCACCAAAAACAGCAATTTGGCAGACTCTCAAATCCTGTTCCTTAGAGTGTTGTGGATAGATTTTCCTATTCTTATGGGATTCTGAGGACAGTCAGAGCTATACTGCAAAATAGTGGAATTTTCCTAACTTCAGGCTGAAATAAATAATTCCATGGGGACTGGAAGGAAAAAAAATGCTTTTTCTTCAACTGAAAGACTTAGAATGGTAAATCGTTTTTATAATTAAAATTTCATTTTAAAACTCAAATTTTTATTTCACAATTTCATGACTTCTGAATTTCCCCAATATAAACTCTTCCACTTTACACCCGTCTCTTCATTGTCAAATATTTAGTGGCATTACCTAATGAGCCCCTTGAGATCAGAGATCTTCATATTTGCCTTTGTGCTAATTACATGATGCAGTTCTTGATCCAAATAGTACTTGGTGTTTGTTGGTTCGATGTCAGAATAACGATCATAAACAAATGAGATACACAAGGGGTATTCAGTGTTCACCAGAAGTCTTTTTTATAAAATCTGATTTCCTTATCAAGTTTTATATCCCTGGATGGAACACTGTAACATTAGCTCTTCAACTCACCTGTAACACTCACAGCTCTTTTAGAACAAGGGGAGATTTCTCTGTATTTTATAGAGATTGCTCAAATAACAATTATCACAGCTGGATTTATTGCCCTTGGTTGAAACCTTCGTCACCTTCGTCGTCATTGCCTCCTCCCTCAAACTCCCTCTGCTCAAACCACATCCAATTAGTTGGTCACTGAACCATCATTGTTAATTCTACCTCCTTACTCAGTCCAACTTCCCCTTCCACTTGACTCCCAATACCTGCCTGATTCAGGCCCTTCTACCTTGAGAGGGAACTTTCTTTTTTTTTTTTTAATCATCATGTTGAGGGAACTATTACTTCAGTCACCTGTTAATAGATCTCCAGTTCAAATGCATCACCTGCAGAGTCCATTAGGCTCCTTTGGGTTGTAAGATTGAGAGAGAACTCTAGAAACCTCAGTAGATGGGAACATACTAACAACAGTTAGGAGGGAAGACCCACAGAACCCAAAATGATACTTAGAAGCCTACAGTTTATTACAGGAAAGGATACAATGTACAATCTCATTAAAGTAAAGCTAGGTATTGCAACTAACAGCCATCTTACAGTAAAGGGTCTGAGAGGCTACCTGTAGGCACCAACTGTCTTATCTTCACCAAGTTCTTCTCAGGATCTACTTTCTCTCAGGTGGGAAAGCATTGAATGTGAAAGGAACACCCAATTGGGGTCTCAGCTAATGTTTCTTGTACCACGCTGGGCCGATAGCATACGCTGCTATACAATCAGCCCTTCTGGGTTCTCACCAGATACAAATAAACAGGCTCAGTTATCAACAAACAATGTTTATTTGCTTGTATAAAACACCCTGAAACTCTTAGGGCACACAGTTTTGAGACAAAGCTATCAATCTGTATGTTTCAGGTCAGTGCTATGCAGGCTTATTCCTTATTTTAGTAGAATGACTCAGGCTAATTCCAGGTCTTCTCAGCATGCAGGGTTCAGTATAAACATTTGTGAGACTATGAGAAAGAATATAGTGTCACCAGGCTTTCTTGGATGTAAATTAACAAGTCCTGATGGTTTCTTTGCAAAAATAGTACTAGTTATTCAGCACAACTCTAGGGACCCAAGAGCAACTCAATGAATTTCCCATGCTCATGACTCAATTCATAACTGGGATCCTTTACCAGCTGCTTACTTATACCATACTATAAATTTGTCGTAGTTTTTGTATGCATGGTTTCCCTGAGCTC